ACTACAGTGGTTGATAGTGAGTGTGGGTATCTGTTAACTTAGAGCCAGAGTAGACACCACCTGTTTGCTGGACTTGCCTAGGAGTTTGGCGTTGGTGGCAGCTCTAGACCGAGAAATCATCTGGTGAGAAACCATATGTTAGCAAGAAGCAGGGAGAAAGCCAATGAATGTGGGTATGAATAAATTAATTAGCATCTCTTGTACAGGATTGAGCCATCCTAAGAGGTTTGCAGTGGTTAAGTTCAGAAAGACAAGTAGTATTGTTTTTCAGAATACAGTGATAAAATGTAAGCTTCTCTGAGGACTGTAGCTAATGTGACTGCTTGTCATTCTTGCAGTTTATTAGTGCAACATTATTAACTAGCACATTTTCAGTAACCTTCTTGGTCTATAAAATGTTATACCTTCCAGGGCATACTAGCAAAAGAGATTAGGCTCGGAAAAGAGAGATTAGGCTAGACAAGAAACATTAGCAATTATTTTCCTATTTAACCCTGAAGCTGAGTTTTATTGATCCCTACCTAACATGGTAATTAGAAACATAAGCCAATGATGTGTACATTTGTTATGGAGCCAAGAGGAAATCAATATGCTTACATGCAAGTGATCCTGCAGACTGATCTAACATTTTGGAGTATCTCCTGTTGGCAAGCAAGCTGTGAAAAATGTGTCAGAAGCTATAAATGCAGTTCCCATCCCTTGATTTGATTTGATATGTCAAAAGGAAGCCAAATGTGTGTATCAGTGAGCTCTGGATTTTTGTGCTATTATGGGAAAGCAGAAGACTAAACTCTTTTCCTGAAAAAGATTTGAATTACACACAAGAACAGCTCACTTTTTCAGTAACGTCTTTTTGTGCTGGGTCTTTCTGCATTTGGTCTATCTGAGTTTCAGTTGGCCTTTCCTTTGTGGTAAGGAATGTTTGTCATATGGCCCTCCACAGCAGCCCAGGGTGGACGTTTCAGATAAACTGGGGTATCTCACTACCCAGGGAGGAGAGATATTGAGTGCAAAGGTGGAAACAGGTTTGCCTCTGATAGACACTGCAGCACAAAGACCTCAGCAGGCAATTTCTAATTCTTTTATTCCTCTCTTCCCATTTCCCTAAAAGTTAGCTGAATTTTCTGTATGAATCCATCTGGGAATTTCTCATACATATGGAGTAGAATGAAATTTGACTAGATTTGGTGCTAATTTAGATGATATTCAGTGGTATTTGACATTTTAGTCATAGAAGTAAACAAAGCAAAATCCAGTTTATAAGGATAGTTGTTGTAAAAGTGTCATACAACAAAATTAATTTTCATTTAAAGCCATTCTTTCGAGAATCATTTTTATTAGGTCAAAAGAATGGCTGTTTTTGTATTTAAAAAGTACCTTTACACATGACCTTCTGCAAGAGATTGGAAATAAAATAATTCCATCTTGACTTTTCTCCTCAACCTAATGTATTGCACAAGATTTTAGCAGTACTCTCTCCAGTGTTAGTCATGATTATGCATTAATATAACATTTATCTTCCAAGACTCAAAATTATAGTACCTAATTAAAGACTAAAATATATGAGCATGAATTAAGTAGACCACACTACTCAGCCATCTGTCTTCTCTTTCCTTTTTGCTGAACAAAACCAAACCAAATGATCTTGAAGCCCAAACAGGCACTGGAAATGCAAGTTGTCTTTTGGTCCACAAGATTTGAAGTTCACATTCTTTTCATTCAAAATATAACCTCAGAACCTTTCACTTTGATGGGAATTAATTCCAGCTGCCTTGGCTTATGCCATTCAGACAGAGGCATCCTTGGCGACCAAAACCTGGAGTTCATCTGAACATCTAGTGACTTGGCTTAGGGTGCAAGACAAGAGTAAAGAATAGTTTTGTTGATGCTTTATTGTCACATTACTGTAGCATCCCACTTTGACAGTGTCTAATCAGGCTGTTGACCATATAGGTGAGTCACGATTCCTAGGGGATGTGGTATCTAGTTAAGTAGAAAAACCTTTGGAAACCATGCAAGTCCACAAGTACAACTGTTAAGTAAAGCCTAGGTATTTTATTGGAGATAATGTAATCTCAGTATATCTGGACTTCCACTGAGTTTGACCAGTAATTAACCATGTAAGTCAGTAAACTAGAGAAGTATAAACTAAATAGGAAAAAATAATTTTGCTTTTGTGAGGATAAATTAGCATTGTCCTGACGCTCACATTTGAGACTGACCTGGTTCTTCCTATGTCCTGGCCCAGCTGCACCATTTGGCTTTGCAGACTGACTTTGATCAAGTCAACAGTGATATTTGCCCTGTGCCGTTTGGTGGGGGAACTTTGGAGTGTCTGACAAGTCCTGAATTTTTCAGGTTCAAGGATTGTGAGTATCTGACAGGGGATGACCTGTGAGGAGTTGTGACACTAGTTCAGGAGTGTGAGTCTGTCACTGAAAGCCACAGCTGACTTTGGCATGATGAACCCTCATATTTTCCTTGAACTGTGTCTGCTTTTGCTGTTTCTCACTTTTCTCAGGGCCAACAGAAAAACTGACATGTAACTCTGATTCCTGGTTTTTGAACTGTAGTTTAAAATACCTGTTCAGATTATATAGGTAGAACATTTTAATCCATTACAGTATATTTATGGCCTGTGTTCAGTGTTCTTGATTGTATGCACATTGGTTATGATGTATTTTATCTGTCCTATACATTTCCAGACTACCTGGAGAGAAAGACATATACATAAACTGCTTAATGACTGAATCTGCCAATCAGCTAAAAGTATGATGCTGGACCCAAATTAATTAGTCCTGGATTTTCAGTAGACAAGGCCACCCAAAACCTAGGATGTTGCCACTACCTAAAGTTGTGTGGCTTGTGTCAGAAAGACACCTGCTCACACAGCGGGTGACTCCTGAAGTCCAGCCTCAGTCCTCTGCCTGTGGGTCTGTGCAGAGTGCAGACTTTTTTAAAATTCACAACGTGAGTTGTTGGTCTTTGTGCTGTTCAGCAGAGTTGACAAATCTTGTGGAGGCCCAGCTAAGATTTGGGCCAGACTGGGAGATGTGGTTGCCCAAGACTGGAAGGAATGGGAATGGAGTGGACCAGCAGTTTGGGTTAGACCAATTATGTAGAAACTGTGGGCAGGCCAGGTTATTGACCAACAGGTTCCTTTCTATGCTGGGGCTGCTCAGTAGAAATATTTCATTTAGAGTTTTTTACTTTCCAGAATTAGAAATAGGTTAAATCATATTGTATTTTAGAGTATCTCAAAAATATTATCAGTTCAACATCCAATAAATATCTCACAATTATTAATGAAGTAGTTTATTTTATTTTTCAGTATTAGGAATTTGAGACCTAGAGAATATTGTACTTTTATAGCATATCTCAATTCAGATGTTATTTCTCCCAAATACTTGTTTAGATTTCTTAAAAGTTTAGAGTTGAAAAAAAAAAAGATTGGCATACACAAGTGATTCCAAACGCACTTTTTAAAAAGTCAGCTTTTAAGTTTGAATTAATGAAGATAAAATCACACTGTTTATCAATGGCATAGCCCATTCCAGTGCTCAGTGGACATGTGGAGTTGTTGGCTGCTTTGCTGGAGCTGTGACTCTGGAGGGACCATGGGAAAATCGATGGTAGAGGAGGTGCCAGTGGGAGGCAGTGAGGAGACATTGATGTTTTCAGGGAGATAAATCTCATACAGGATTTATAATGCGGAGAATCCACAGTGGAGAGAGGACAGAGGCCAGGTAGAATCTATAACCCCAACATGTGATGATGCACTCTGGTTAACATCATCAGTTTAGTGAGTTCCAGTTGTGGCCCAGTTCTTCTGGGCACTAAGTAGCCTGGCTTATAGGTGTGCTGCACAGATCCCAAGGCTTTTGTGAAGAGTCAAGCATATGGACAAAGGGAAGCTTTTTTCTTCCTATGTGTTATGGTTTTCCTTACAGCTTAACCGAGGAATAATTGGCATATAATAATTTACATGCATGCAAAGCATACACTTTGATGAATTGGGGCACATGTATGAAGTAGTCACCACAAACAGATAATAGGCATTTCCATCATCCCTAAAAATGGCTAACATTGATTTGAGGTATCTCATTACTGGGGTCTGGAGGCAGATGGAGACTGTGGGCCCAGTGTTGGTCCTTCTGATAACTTTGAGCAAGGTATTTAATGTCTCTGGGCATTTGATTTCTAGTTATAGTAGATAATGTTTACTATCTCTAAAAGTATACATAAAATATTTAGCAACCTGTTGATCCTAGAGGCCTCTTATTATCCTGGGTATTCAGTTTCTTATTATGGGATCTGGAAAAATAGCTCTTTACCCACTGGTAGTTGAGTTTTTTAAAAATTTACTTGTTAGAAAGGCAGAAAGAGAGAAGCAGAAACAGAGGCTTCTCATCCCCTGGTTCATTCCTCAAATGCCGATAGCAGAGAAGATCAGGCCAAAGCTGGGAGCCAGGAACTCTGCCCAAGTCTCCCATGTGGGTGGCAGGAATTTGACTCCCTGAGCATCACCTGCTGCCTTACAAGGCATACATTAGCAGGAAGCTGGAATCAGAAGCGGAGCCAGGACTCAGACCTAAGCATTTGGATCTGGGATGTAGGAGTCCCAAGCAGCACTTTAGATGCTGCACCAAATGCCCCACCCGTGTTGACCTTTTTAATTACTGTAAGTTATATCAGCAGGTATCCTGCCTCTTAGTAAGGATGGATGATAATGTGTGCCTGCCTCGGGACCAGGCAAACCCCTAGACAGCCTTTTTGTGAATTCAGTAATTGTGGGCAGAAGCAACAGAATAGTCGAGAAACATCATTTTCTAATAGATAAGATGCTCCTTAGGGTAGATCCCTCTCCGTCATTGACTGGGAGCCCTGAGAAGCACATGTAGCTTCCTGTGTGCTTGTGCTGCCAAGCACCTCCAGGAGTAAGCCATGCAGAGGACTCAGCTGTGAGTCTCCCTTCTCACCATCTCTTCTTGGCCCAACAGAGGGTGTTCAGAGCTCTGCCGGATCCCCATGGTGGAATACAAACTGGACAGCGAAGGCACCCCCTGCGAGTACAAAACCCCCTTCAGGAGGAACACCACGTGGCACCGAGTGCCCACCCCTGCCCTGCAGCCCATCTCCAGGGCCTCCCCTGTCCCTGGCACGCCCGACCGGCTTCAGTGCCAGCAGCTGCTCCAGCAGGCCCAGGCCGCCATTCCTCGCAGCACCTCCTTTGACCGGAAGCTGCCCGATGGCACAAGGTAACGCTGGTGCTGTATCCTCCATACAGCCCTTCTAAAACTGGGGTTAGAAACTTGAAATCATAGGGAGGGTCTCTACTTGGCTCAACCACTTCCTTTAAAAAAAATTATTTATTTGAAAGGCAGTTACAGAACGAGAGAGGGAGAGACAGAGAGAGATCTTTCATTTGTTGGTTGACTCCTCAAATGGCTGTAACAGCTGGGGCTGGGCCAGGCTGAAGCCAGGAGCCTGGAGCCTTATCTAGGTGTCTCATGTGGTGCAGAGCCCCAGGCACTTGGGACATCTTCTACTGCATTACCAGGCACATTAGCAGGGAGCTGGATCGGGAATGGAGCAGCTGGGACTTGAACAGGCACCCATATGGAATGTTGGCACTGCCGGTGGAGGCTTAATCTGCCACTCCACAGCACTGCCCTTGGTTCAGTCACTTCTAAGTCAGCTTGTTCTGAACAAGTTGGCGGGCAGGGTGACAGGGCAGGCCCTGGACCCAGAGGTGCTTGGGGTCTAGCCCTGTCCTGTAACAGTGCTGATGAAGGCAGGTCACGCCCATCAAGGGCACAGCTTTCTTTGCCTATCATGCTCTCTCCATGTCAGCTGGCTGGCTAAGCCATTGGGAACGATATCCCAGAAACTCTTCTGCATGGGCCTCTAGAAAAGCATAAACAGGGTGGAGTATAAATAAAACAAAACTGAAACATAAATGATTAAATCCTATCATAATGTGAGCCATACTTTCAGAGGTCCCATGATCATAAGCACTTCTTCTTTGGTTTTCTTTCTTTTTAAACAAAGTTTAAAATTAAATTTTCAGTGAAAGAATGCAATTGTTTAAAAGTTCAATCCTATTGCACTAGCGCCTTATGAGAATTTTTGGATGCCTAATTTGCGTAGGTCATTTTAAGTGTGTAAAATAGGGTTTTCCTATTGCTCTTAATTCTTACTCCTTTTATTTTAGCTTTCATGTAATTTGTAGGCTTTGGAATTTGGTCAGAATGACTTGGCAGGCTCTCTTCTGATAGACTGTGCTCTGCATAGATGGGGAGCCACGTTTCCCAGGCTGGAATCACAGGCCTGTCTTGATGGATGGTATCTTGGGCCTGTCACATATTGTCTCAAAGCCTCTAATTTCCTCATCAGGCAATAGTAGCAGTATTAGACCTCATCAGGGCATCTTGAGGATGGCATGGGTCACTGCATGCAGAAAGAATGTTTGGACTCAGGATTGGCATAGTTAAGCCCTTGCAAGTAGTAGCCAGAAGTAACTGATAGGGTTAAAGTGCATGGTTATCCTCTGTTTTCTCCAGTATCTTCTTTCCAGAGTGTATGCAGGAATAGACTGTGTGACTTGAATTTGACCTTATATCCTCTTGATTTTAGTCCACCTTACTCAGAAATCTGAGTTTATAAACTAAAGTAGCCAAAGAGTTACACATGAGTAGTGCTGGTAGAAGGAGCAGTGGACAGCAAACAACATCCTGGAAGAAAGAAGTCTGCAAAGCCTTACCTAGTAGATTCTAGTACATTATAGTGGGAAATGCTGAAGGCTTCCAGGAGCTAAAGGAAAATTGGAAAGCACATCTTCAAAGAGGAGATTTTTTCATGAATGTTACTTCTTTCTTTTTTTTTTTTTTAAGATCTATTTATTTATTTGAAAAGCAGAGTTACAGAGAGGCAGAGGCAGAGATAGAGAGGTTGAGAGAACTTCCTTCTGCTGGTTCACTCCCCAAATGGCTGCAACGGCTGGAGATGGGCCCACCCAAAGCCAGGAGCCTGGAGCTTCTTCCGGGTCTCTCACATGGGTGCAGGGGCCCAAAGACCTGGGCCATCTTCTACTGCTTTCCCAGGCCACAGCAGAGAGCTGGAACAAAAGTGGAGCAGCCGGGACTAGCATCAGTGCCCATATGGGATGCCAGTGCCGCAGGCGGCAGATTTACCCGCTGTGCCACAGTGCCAGTCCCGTATTACTCATTTCTATGTGTCTGAAGAAAGAGAAATAGGATTCCATTCAATAGATGTGTGAAAACAAATGATTTGCCAAATTTAGTTTTTTCTTGATGCAATCGATTTTAAATATAGAACCAAAATGTGACTTGAGTTCCATTTCTTCTAACAAGAATTAGTAATCTTTCCATAATTCTGTATTCTCAAGGATAGTGTTGCTGTTCTTCATATTTCACAAGTGCAGGGATCAGTGTCTCTGCTTTGAGTCTGTAGACAGTGAAGGCTTGTCCTGCCACAAGATAAGTTGCCAACCAGGAGCCATGTGGTAGCTCTGGGCATTCTTAGATATCTGTGGTTTCTTTTGTTTTTGCATTGCAATGTGGTTTTCTTCCATTTTGTTGTCTTTGTCAAAGTGGATTGTTTATGAAGCAAAACAGGTCAGATCAAGGTGCTTGGCAGAGTGCTCAGGACACTGTGAATGATTCTAGTCATTTTTTCAGAAGCTCACCCAGCAACCAGTCATCATCCAGCGACCCGGGACCCGGCGGGAGTGGACCCTGGAGACCGCAAGTGGGCTATGATGGGTACTGCTCCCTTTTACCTTACTGCTATCCCAGAGAAGAACCTGTTTCTGTGACTCATTCAGAAACATGCACTGTGTGCCTGCTGTACAGGAAGCCATTGGGGGGATATAAAAGCGCCAGGCATGCATTTAACGAGTGACCTGCTCAGGGCAGAGAGCTCATCATTTCATTGTCTGCACTGTTCACTTGACTGTTCAGAGCCTGGTGTCTCGTGTTGTAAGGAAAGCCTTTCTGAACATGAAAATGAAGGATTTGAACCATGGTGCTTGGGAATTCCCACTCACTAAAATAGCTGATGAGGAAACACCTTCAGAGAATCAGAGAAGCAGGCTTAGCAGTTGATGCATCGTTCTAGTTTTTTGCTCGCCAGTTGAGAAGCAGCAGAGGATGTGTCAGCACTCAGCTGGGGACCATCTGTAACAGTATGAATGTGGTGTCCAGAGCCAGGCAGGTCAGGCAGAGCCCAGGGACTCCTGTCAACACAGAGACCCCGAATTGACTCATCCCCAAGCTCCTGGACAGGTAGGGCAGTCCCTCCTTGTGAAGGAGCCATGCCACTGTGGTGGTCAGGAGCTGGGTGTGATGCTGTAGAGCAGAGGGTGCAGGCAGTGGGAAGACTCCACTGTGAGCACAAGGTTGGTCATCGTCTTCACAGGCACAGGGAGAAGTGTCTCCCCCCAGAATGCACTTTTCTTCTGGATGGAGCTTAGAAGCTGGTGCTTGGAGCCTGTGTAATGTGTTTCTTACCTTAGAATAAGCAAAGACCTTTAAAGTTGTGTGTTAAGTGATTTTTAAAAAATAAATAAGTTGCATTCTGAATTAAAAAAAAATAAGTTGTATTCTGAAAGTGTAGAAAAAGAGATGAAGGTTCCCCCCTCCCATAGAAAAATCTTTTCAGTCTTTTTCAGGATTCTGTAAATCAGGACCCCCTTGTAATGTGAATATGTTTTCTTTGGTTTCTTTCTTTCTTTCTTAAGATGGTATTTTCCTGTGTGAGGTATTCATAAAACAGAACTCATTTGGATGTAGCCTAGAGCTAACCATAGTCTCATTTCCTTAAAAAAAAAAAAAGTAATATAAAGAGTAGCAGTGCCATGCATGTTGGACACAAAGCAGAAACCACTGAGCCCTCCCTTAGCTTGAAGGGATGTCATCCGACTCTGGGTAGTCCCTTAACCCGCTGGCATCCACAGCCCTTCTTTGTCCACGAATGGCTGTCATCTCAGCACATTTCTTGACTCTGTGGTGAAAGGAGATCCCCAAGACCAGTTGCTTTTAGCTGCTCTGGCAGGGTGAGGCCCATAGATCCTGCATTTCTCTTTGTCAGAGCAAAGCTTCTAATGGGAGGTTTCCCCTGCATGGCCCTCGTGGAAGCCAGAGCACCTGTGCTGTGCTGGCAGGGGCCCCGAGGAAGAACAGGCTCAGCTCTGGTTTCTCTGCAGGTGCCAGTCTCCTCTGCTGCTCGAGCACCAGGGCTCCGGTCCTTTGGAATGTGAGGGAGCCAGGGAGCGGGAGGATGCCATGGAAGGAAGTAGACACCCAGGTAAGTAACAAGGAGCTCCTGGGTAGAAATCTGCTTCTTCCCCTCCCCGCCCCGTCTCTTCTCCCTTCACTCTCTCATTCATTCATGCATACACGCATGCATTCATTCAACCTGTATTGGTGGCCACCTGTGTGCACTGAGGTGGGGTGGTGAGCTAGGGCTCCGAATACTGAGAAGTGGTGGTGGTTGTAGTGCCTGTGGAAATGGAACGTTTACGTTGAACTGATTGCTCCTGTAGCACATCAGTTGTCAAGACCCTGAAGTTCTAGAGCCACAGTTCTTCTTTTTAACCAAACTATTGGTTCTACTCCTGTGTTTGTTGTTGTTCTGTTGTGTTTTGTTTAATTCTTTTACTGACACAGAAACTGGAAATTTAACCCTTCTCTCTTTATGCGACAGAAACCAAATGGCACGGCCCACCCTCCAAAGTCCTGAGTTCCTATAAAGAGAGAGCGCTGCAGAAAGATGGAAGCTGCAAGGATTCCCCCAATAAGCTTTCTCACGTGAGTCCTTGTGCAGAAGCCGGCCGCGGCCTTTACCAGGAGTGGCTCATGTAACATGCTCACCAGGGGCTCTCGGGGTGCGTCGTTTGCCTCCCCAGGCTCAGGCTCATAGAAGAAAAAGGGTTTTCTATTTTCTTTCCTGATTTATGAAGGACCTCAAAGAGATGTCACAAAACTGGCAAAGCCAAGCTTATATCCTCAGCCTTTCGATCCTCAGTGCCCAGTGTGGTAGTTACTAAACAGTATCCCCTTTCTTAGTCTGCTGACCACTTATCCATTTAATGACATAATGCAGAAGTATAGACTGCAGTGGTGTGTGTGGTCCGAGAAACTGCCCACGGGGTCTCTGCTGCACGGTCACAGATGATCCACGATAACCCCGGTACAGCCAGCTATCACGCAGGTGGTAGTGTTAGCGCAGTGCCCTCGTGGTCATCCTTGGTCATTTGTGAGGCTGCCTTGTTTACCCTCTCCAGAAGGAGGAGGTGAGCCCCACAGGAGCCTGCAGCCCAGCGAAACAACTTTCTGTTCGTTGTGGAAACAGGAATTGTTTGCTGGTGGTTGTCCAATAAAGCCAACATTTTAAAGTAGCCTCTTTTTGAAAATTCACAGGTAAAGATAGCTTATGAGCTCCTGAATTAAGTTGTGTCTTTCCTCTTCCCTCATTTGTCATCAGCGAGCTTTACAGGTGTCTACTCATGAACATGTGTGACATTGCTTCCTAGCTGTGGCTGTAGCCTTGCCTTGAGAAAGACGAAGCCACGTCTGTTTAAATCCACCTCTTCAGTTCTCTCCGTTTTGTTAACAATGGGAGAAGGGGGTGGGTGTAGGCTTGAGAATATCTGTGTGCAGTGAGAAGGTCAAGGATCTGATAGGATGGAATGAAAGACAAAAAAGTCAAGCCACTTGAAAACTGGCCAGGGCAGGGCTGATTCTCATGGTTGCCAACTCCTTTGCTGATGCTCCAAGTCTTGTTGGTTTTCCCAGGCTATGAAGAGGGGCTGTGTCTGTCTGAGCACATTGGATAGAAAGGGTCATTTATTCTGTTCTATGTGCTTTTTGTCTTCCTAGACCCTGGACTCTTTTACAAATCTGTTTAGTCTAAAGAGAGCCTATTTTTTTCTCTTTTTCTATTATTTTATTCTTACTTCTTGAAAGTATTTCCTATTATACTGAAAGGATCTTTACCATTTATATTGTATTTTATTTTTTGCTTTGTGTAGGTCATTCTTTTGGTTTTTTTTTTTTTTTTTTTTTTTTTTTTTTTTTTTCATCTCTCTAGCTCTGGGGCATAATTTGATCAGGATTTCTGTTTACCTTGGGCTGTCCAGCTGTGATGTGCTCAGCATGTGTTATCTCATTTGGTCTGCTGTTGTGACTCTGACCTGGATCTTCTGCCACAATTTGTCATATAAGCATTGTCTTGATAAATAGCTGCTCTCCTTTTATTAATTTCCCATGTTCCTTCCCAGTTTACATATAACGTTGTTCAGCTATTTTCTTGGTAGTGGCATTGTAGTCATAGTTTTGTGCTTCACGCACAAATAACTGAACAAAGACTTCAAGATGTCAGTTGAACTTAAGATACATTATGGGAGGAATTACACATCAAGGACTTCTGAATAAATTCAGGCTCGTTCTGAGAAAGGCAGTTCCTCTACTGCCCGCAGTGAAGAGTGACTAGAAAGAGTTCAGGCTTGCCACTCTGCCAGTCCACATGAGAAGCAGCAACGTGTGGGATTTGCTTGAAGTCTCTCTCTTGCTCTTTCTTCCCAAGATTGGAGATAAAAGTTGCTCCAGTCACTCCAGCAGCAACACACTCTCCAGTAACACCTCCAGCAACAGCGACGACAAGCACTTTGGGTCTGGGGACCTGATGGACCCTGAACTGCTGGGGCTGACTTACATCAAGGGGGCCTCCACTGACAGCGGCATCGACACAGCCCCATGCATGCCCACCGCCATCCTCGGCCCCATGCACCTGACGGGCAGCAGGTCCCTGATCCACAGTCGGGCCGAGCAGTGGGCTGATGCGGCTGACATCTCGGGGCCTGAGGATGATCCAGCCAAGATGTACACCGTGCATGGCTATGCAGCTGCTATCTCTTCTGGCGGTGCTACTGAGGGCAGCATGGGTGACCTCAGTGAGATATCATCGCATTCCAGGTGAGCCTCTGCCACCTTGCCAAGCAGCACCTGCTGGTGCCAGCTGGGCCTTCCCTGCTGGGGTGGGGGAAGTGTATGACATGGTTTGCCCAACTGTCTGGCTTCAGAGGAAGTGCTCATTTCTAAAATCTGATGGTTGCAATAGAGATATTAATTGCTCTAATCACACACTCAAATGTCTCTCGTTGAACCTGTTGTCCCCTCATTTTTGGGAGAAGAGTAGCATGTTAGGTAATCTTCATTCAGAGTACAGCATGAGTCCTGCAGGTAGGGAGTGCACTGAGCTTGTTTTCCCACACATACACTCCTTTTTGCTCCTCAGGTCCCAACTGCACGGAGACCCAAGATCTGCTCTGCAGCAATGAAAGTGTATTTGGCTTGGCAATTGGAATTCTAAAATATACCGTAGTTAAATGTAAAGGAATCACTCTAGTATAGGTGCTTAATATATTGTTGTGGACAGTTTTAGAATTCCTATTTGACAAATGTCTATTCTGTGGTTTTAAAACTCATTAATTTACAGTTCCCGCCTTCCCTTTCAAAAAGAGGCAAAGGAATACATTTATTCTGATTTGACTGTGGACAAGAATTTAACCACTCACATCAACTACCACTGTAATTTTTCTTCTTGTCTCTAAGGTCCTCCCTAATTCAGCTCCACATTACTACTTGACTCCTCCCCCAAACTCCTGTAAGTGCTAGAGGGCAGATTCAGGTGAACTATTTAAGGGGAATATCCTTCCGAGTACCTGGTGCCATGATGGAACATTTCTCCCAATGGGAGTGCTCAGGGAAGGCTGTGGAGTTCACAGAGTTGGGCTCTTGGTGCCCCCTGGTTCTCTCCTTTAGAGTCTTCCCTCTGACTCTTCCCTTTCTCACCTAGCCACAGCAAGGACACTGAGTAACATTAATGGTACAGATTAAAACTGCACTAATTGGTTCACACAACTAAGGTAGCATTTTGGTTTGTGTTAGCAAAAGGTCAGAACTGTCAAGGATCTGCTTGATTGCCACAGCCCACATGATAGTCCCCAAGACCGTGTCCCCTCTAACTCCAGCCCCACGTGGCAACCCCTGAAATCTGGAGCACTTCCCACATGGCTGACGATTGCTGTGCCATCTACAGGCCTCCCGTGTCCTGCCCTTCTGAGCGCAGGAGGAAGAGGGTCTTTCCCTAGTTTCTGCAGAAGACACAGGTCCCTGTCCTCTTGGAAGCCAGAGCCCCTTCTAAATTTTCTTAGCTTTAATCATTATGGTTGGGGTGTGGCATTGACCAGGGCATTCCGGCCTTCTCAGAGGTCTGGGACCCAGTCCCACCAAGCTGTGTGCCATTCTCCTAGACGAAGGCGGAGTACTGTTTGATCAGGAGATGGAAGCATGCACACCAGAGGGTGGAAATCCAGTGCCTGCCACGTACTCCACTCTGTCCCTCTGGGCAGAGCAGCCTAGGATGTGGAGATAGGCCTTCCTGCTGGTGTTTTCCAGTTCTGTCTAATAATTTGACTTACTGTAAATCTAGTACTAACAGTAAAATAATATCTAAGGATTATCAGTGAATTTGGTTACCTGAATTTTTCCTGCTTTTCAATATCAGCAACAGTTAAAAATTGGCCATACTGGCCGGCGCCGTGGCTCAATAGGCTAATCCCCTGCCTTACGGCGCCGGCACACCAGGTTCTAGTCCCGGTCGGGGCACTGGATTCTGTCCCGGTTGCCCCTCTTCCAGGCCAGCTCTCTGCTGTGGCCAGGGAGTGCAGTGGAGGATGGCCCAGGTCCTTGGGCCCTGCACCCGCATGGGGACCAGGAGAAGCACCTGTCTCCTGGCTTCGGATCAGCGCGATGCGCCGGCCGCAGCGCGCCGGCCACGGCGGCCATTGGAGGGTGAACCAACGGCAAAAGGAAGACCTTTTCTCTGTCTCTCTCTCTCACTATCCGCTCTGCCTGTCAAAAATAAAAAATAAATAAATAAAATTGGCCATACTATAAAAGCCCTGTTGGAGTTTCATAACCACCTACCATATTATTCAAAGTTTGGAAGAATTTTTAAACATAACTTTCTTAGACATATGTAATTGATAGCACAATAGAGTTTTGTGTTTTTTGTGTTTTTCTGTAGAAACTTCTGTTAGAACACATTCATTTATAAAGAGTTAAATGTAGGCATTTGAAGTGGATTTTCTTGAATACCTCAACCATTCACTCATTTAATGGGTTAGGTTTCTTAGAAAGAATGTAAAAACGCTAGGTTGAATTTCTGATTGATTTTACTTTCTCCCCAGTACCTTAAATCCAATGCATGCTTGGCTGTTGTGGAAGTTTTGTGCTCATTTGAGTGAGTGGAATCTTTTACCACCTGACTGACTGCCTTTTACTTGTGAATCTTATTTGAGGGTAACTTTGAAGCCACATCTCAATTTGTTTTGTACACTGTTGCTCAGTGCAGAGTTCAGGCATTCGATGGGATCTCCTTAATGCTTCTTCCTGTTGTGTCTTTGACCTGTGCCGAGATGGGCAGGAAGTAAGATTCAAAGTGTTGGCCTTGTTTTCTGTGTGCTGAGGTAAAAGGCATGTAGCTCTTCAGAGCACAAGGGACCAACCTACCAAGCCATACTACTGCACACTCTGAAGCGCTGGGCCCTTCTTGGGGCATGTGTGTCCACAGAGCAGTGCCTCACTTCCCTCTTTGTTCCCAGCTCAGGCTAGCGTACCACTTAGAAGCTAAGACTCACTGCCCAGAGTCAAGTTGTGGCTGGGAATATCCCCAGGAACAGAAGAGCAGAGTAGACTTTTCAGGGGCTGATGTTGCTGAACACCTTGACAGAGTCACACCCCTGCCCCTGCCAGCACTGTCCCAGTTTGCTTTCTTCATAGCCCCCTTCCCTGGGCGAAAGCATTTGTGCTTATCTCCTCCCATTTTCCCTCATAGGCTTGTGGCCTATTGCTACTTCCGAGTGTTCATGGCTTGAGGCCAGTTGGGCTGTGGCCTTACTCACTCACTGGTATCCATTGCACTTAGTACTAAATTGCTTGCATGTGGCAGACATCTGAGTATTTGTTGAATGAAGGCAGGAACTGTTAAAGTACTTGATGCATGCTTATTGATCAGCTTAACACAGGATCACCTGAGTTATCTAGAGACACGGCAGAGCATGAGATGAAGCATTCCAAGCCCCCAGTGTCAGAGCCCAGGTCAGTAGGTAGTGGACCCTTCCTCATCTCATTCTGGCTTTTCACCAGCAGTACACAAGCACGTGCTAGCCTACAGCCATCAGAGTGTGTCTGTGTGTGTCTGTGGTACAGTTCTAAGATTGTACTAAGGAGGGAAAAGGGGGGCTTAAAATCATTTTGAGACAAGCTGTGCTTATGCAATGGAAAAGGCAAGAGAGGATCAGGACTCTCCACTAGGCGAAACATGCATGCATCTAACCCACATTCTTCTGGTGCTCACTACTTTCAATGCAGCAGTTTTTTTCTTCCTGCAAGGGAGCTCAGAATACAAAGCACTATTCATGTTTTTCTAACAAAACCAAGGTTTTGCAAAGTGAAATAAATCAACTGCAAAAAAAAAAAAAGAAAGAAAGAAAAGAAAAGAAAAAGGAAAAGAGATCCGTGTTCTGGATTCTCCTGTATGGTTCATATGATTATCTGTTGTTGCCATTATTCATGTCACCGTGCCCCTCCCTTAGCGCAGATGATTGCAAGTTGGCAGTGTAGCTCACAAAAAAAGAACTGTAGATGGAAAGGATTCATGAAAAGTTTATTGCAAATATTCTAAAATGTTTACCAGCTCCAGAGAAAGCATTTATAATGATGTTATGGCTACTAAACACAATGTCGTGTGATAGTACTCATCACAAAGATTGAATATACTTGAGATTACTGGGTAAAAGACATTTTTAAGATGTATTGGTATATTTCTGTGTAGAGCTACACAGAAAGGGAAGAAGAGAGAGAGAGAGAGAGTAAGAGAGAGAATCTGTCCACTGGTTCACTCTCCAAATACCTGCAGCAGCTAGATCTGTGCCAAGCTGAAACTAGGAGCCAGGAACTCCATCCTGCTCTTACACAGGGGTGGCAAGAGTCCAGAAACACTTAGGTTATCTTCTGCTCCATTTCCAGGCTCCTTAGCAGGAAGCCGTTTTGAAAGCAGAGTAGCCTGGTCTTGAACAGGTGCTTGGGTGTGGAATGCCAGTGTTGCAAGCAGGTGGCTTAACCCACTGTGCCACAATTCTGGCTCCAGTAAAATACATTTTAAATCAAGTATGAATTAGAAAAAGTTTCTTTTGTAACAAAAATGGAAACACATATGGTTTACGATCCTGCTGTCATTATTAACTGCACATTTTTTTTTTAATGATTTTTTTTCCTACCTTTAACATTTTTATTTTCACTTTTTATTTACAAGGCAGAGAGAGAGAGACAGAAAGGCAAAGCAGAGATCTTCTAGCCATTTCCCAAATGCCCACAAAAGCCAGCCCAAAGCCTGGAGCCTGGAACTCAGTCTGGGTCTCCCATGTGGGTTGCAGGGACCCAAGTACTTGAGCCATCACCTGCTGCCATCACAGGGTGTGCATTAATAGGAAGCTGGAATTGGAAACCCAGCCAAGACTCAAGCCCCAGCACTCTGATATGGGATACAGGGACCATAGGTTGTGCCAAATTTCTGCCCCAGCTACACCTTTTCAAAAATGTATAGTTTGATGTCGCTCCCCCTCTTCATGGAGGAACGACACAGGACCCTGCGCTGTTCTTTCGTCTGCTCGGCCCTCCCCGGGTTTGCTGCTGGTTCTTCCCGGGTTGGCTACTATCCCTTCCACCTCCGTGGAAGGGCAGTTCCCCCTGGCCGCATTCCCCACTTCCGCAGGGGAGCGGCACACCGCCGGCCGGCTTTCTCAGGGGCTGCACGGGTTCCCTTAGATGTTCCCCATAGATGTTCCCGGTGCATGCCGTCTCTCTCCTCCTTTATAGTCCTCCTCCGCCAATCCTAACTCGGCTGCCCACACGCCGAGTACGCTGCTCTCCTCCAATCAGGAGCAAGTCCTACAGTTTATTAGTTGAACTCGAGGCAGCTGTGCGGAAGCTGTTTGCTTCTCTCCCATCGCCATATTGTGGGAGAGCAGATGCATAGAATAAGTCTTAATTCCCGTAACTCAGTCTAGTCCGGATTGCTCCCCACAGATCCCCCTTTCTTTTTATTTTTGGCGTTGATACGCGCCTGTCTTCGGTGTCCCGCGGCACACACTCTGCTCTACTTGCTAGAGTTGCCACAGGCTCTTACAAGTCCTATCAATCAGGCAAACCGAATCCGGGTCCTCTCTTCGCCATGTTGTGAGGAGGTTTTTAGGCGCTGATGCGTGCCTGTGTTCGGTGACCTGCAGCTCATACTCTGGTCAAGCTGCTTGCTGGCGCTTACCGCCTTAATTAGGCAGACCGAATCCAAGCTTTCTCATTGCCGTATTGTGGGGGAGACTTATTAGTGTTGGTTCGTGCCTATCTTCGGTGACCTGCAGCTCATACTCTGGTCGAGCTGCCTGTCGGTGCTTACCGCCCTAATCAGGCAGACCGAATCCAAGCCTCCTAATTGTATTGTGGGGAAGCCTTACTGATGTTAATTCGTGCCTGTCTTCGGTGACCTGCGGCGCATAAGCTGCTAGCCGCCGCAGGTGCTCATCGCCTCACTTAATTGGGCAGACCAAATCCAAGCTTTCTCACTGCCATGATGAGGGGAGGCCTTTCTATTTCTCTATTTCTCTATCTCCGGGCATTCCTATTTCTCCCATTTTACTTCTATCTTCCAGCATTCCTATTTCTTTTACTTCTAAACTTCTGTTTCTCTTATCCCTGCAGCTTCCCGGCGCCTCGCGCTGCCGGCAGCTTCACGGCTCCGCGCAGCTTCAGCCCGCGCCTCATCTGCGCGGCTCGGCTTTGCGCGGCTTGGCTTCGCGCGCTCCGCGGTCTCGCACTTAACCCTTTCGCGTCTGAACCACGGCCTCGCCAGCCCCGTTCCCTATCTACTTGTGCCCCGCACGCTCTCTCTGCACGCGGCGGCTTCCGCGAGTAACACAGCGTAGCTTACGTGTCCGCCACTAGCATTCAATCTAAGTTCCCCGGGCTAGCCTGGCGAATTCAACCCAGCATACGTCTCCGCCCCACGGTTTGGCTTCCCGTCCTTTGCTCCCCGGGCTAATCAGACGGATCCCAACCAGGCTCACGTTTCAGCTTCTGGTTTCAACTTTTCGCCCCCCATTCCCGGGCTAACTTGAGAACCCCAAAGTGGCTTCCGTGTCCGCCTTGGCCTGCCCCCCGCTGCTTCAATTTCCCTAACACTTTTCTCTACCCGGTATGTTTCCCCAAGCTTTCCTCCAACAATACTCCTCCCTCATTTCTCCTGGCCTCTCCCCACAGTCCGCATCTGAGTCTGTTTGTTCTAGCTTTCACTTTCGCTTTCGACCTTAGAGATTTCTCCCAGCTTCCCCCTGTAGTCCGTATCCGAATCTATGCCTAGGCTTTCAATAGCTTCTTCCGGCACCCTTTTCGTCCAGCTTTTCCCTAGGCTGTTTGCTAGTCTCTCACTCCGATATTTTCCCTAGGCTGTTTGCTAGTCTCTCTCTCCGGTATTTTCCCAGTTCTTCCCGTTTCTTCCCTCCTAAGTTTCTGTCCATCCTAAGTTTCCTATCCGAGCTAGGTTTCCTATCCGAGTCACGGCACCATTATGTCGCTCCCCCTCTTCATGGAGGAACGACACAGGACCCTGCGCTGTTCTTTCGTCTGCTCGGCCCTCCCCGGGTTTGCTGCTGGTTCTTCCCGGGTTGGCTACTATCCCTTCCACCTCCGTGGAAGGGCAGTTCCCCCTGGCCGCATTCCCCACTTCCGCAGGGGAGCGGCACACCGCCGGCCGGCTTTCTCAGGGGCTGCACGGGTTCCCTTAGATGTTCCCCTTAGATGTTCCTGGTGCATGCCGTCTCTCTCCTCCTTTATAGTCCTCCTCCGCCAATCCTAACTCGGCTGCCCACACGCCGAGTACGCTGCTCTCCTCCAATCAGGAGCAAGTCCTACAGTTTATTAGTTGAACTCGAGGCAGCTGTGCGGAAGCTGTTTGCTTCTCTCCCATCGCCATATTGTGGGAGAGCAGATGCATAGAATAAGTCTTAATTCCCGTAACTCAGTCTAGTCCGGATTGCTCCCCACATTTGATGATTTAATGGGGAAATGTGAGTAAGCAATACAAAGGCAGCATCTTTGCTGTCCCGTGACTTTGGGTACCCCAGCTTTAACCATCAGGGGTTACCAGAGGCTTTGAAATGCATGTTGCACATGGTAACTAAGGCAGTACACAGTGCTTCACCAGGAACACTAAAAGTGTCAGCATGGTTGGGGCAGTTGGGAAACTAGGATTTGTGGACCATCAGTTGGAGAGTGGTGCTGTACAGCGCCTGATTTCCTGAATGCGATTGTCCTATTGTTACTCTGGAGGAAATGTCCTTATTCTTAGGAAATACTTGCTGAAATAGAAAAGGGTCATGTCTCCACTGTTCCCAAATAATTCTCAAATGGTTCAGAGAGGAGCACATGTGGAGGTACAAGATAATAACTGTTACTGGATCTTAGTGAGGGGCATATGCATATTCATCCTGCTACCCAGTACCATTTCTATAATCTGAAATTATAAAATAAGAAGCATGGGAAAATAATACGCAGACCTTCAAAACCCATTATTGTTAAATACCACAGTATTTCCCAACCTACCGAGTCCCAAAGATGGGTCACTTTGTTTTCCTTCTTTCCTCTTGAACTTCTATTAAAACTCCATTTTAATACTATTCTTAATTTTATACTTTTTTTTTAAAGATTTTATGTATTTGAGAGGTGGAGTTATAGACAATGAGAGGGGGAGAGAGAGAGAGGTCTTCCATCTGCTAGTTCATTCCCTAAATGGCCACAACAGCCAGAGCTGTACCGATCCAGAGCCAGGAGCTTCTTCCTGGTGTCCTGTGCAAGTGCAGGACTTGGGCTACCTTCTACTGCTCTCCAAGGCCATAGCAGAGAGCTGAATCAGAAGAGGAGCAGCTGGGACTAGAACTAGCACCCGTATAAGATGCTGGCACCGCAGGCAGAAGATTATCCTGTTGTGCCACAGTGCTGGCCCCTATTTTTTCTTATTTTCTACATAAATTTTTCAGAAAAGACTTGCGCTTACTCTAGGGCTTTCCAAGCAAGATTATATTTCAGCATGCAGGTGGAGGAACCCACTGGTAAACCTTGAATGGCAAGAAATCCTACCTGTGGATAATCCTTTCACAAATCAGTTTTTATAAATTAATTGTTTCTATAATATATACTTTACACTTGTAACTATTCTAAGTGCTTCACTAGTATTAACTCAGATAATTTCCAGAACATTGATGAGAAAACTGAGGTTAAGAAATTTTCCCAGGGCCTGACGCCACTAAGTGACAGAGCCCACATGGGGAGCCCAGAGCACTTGTGTAGCGGGTTTTCTGAAGGAAGTCCATCTACCTTTCTGAACTCTGACCTTAAGACTGTGAACATGTAGAGATTGTTCACATTTATGAAGTGATTCCTAATCTCTACTCTTACTAATTTTTCATAAAACGTTGTTCTCAATCTTCCTGATTAAAAGATCCTTCACTTTTGTATGCCGAGTTGTGATCATCCTGTTCACTTAGGTTCTCAGACAGCTAATGGGGGAGCCCTTCCGGCCTCAGTTTAACCACTGACCTTTACAACTTTTGTTGCTGTTAGGGATTTTGTCTGCTTCAGGATTGTATCGTATGATATTATAACAAATGCCCCCATAATTTCCATCAGGTTATGGGCTGGAACATTGCTGTGGCTAGAAGCTCTCTGTATCTTACTGGGTCAGAACCCTTCCTTTTCTCTCTGGCCACTCACCCATCTTTTGCAATTATCATCCCCTCCTTGCCTTCATACCTTCCTGGACAAATGGAGAGCTTTAGTTTGCTTATGTATTAACTGTGTTGAGAAGTGGAATAGGACATATCCTATTCTTTGCTACTTTGTCCAACATTGAGTTTGTGGGATCGCACAAGTTGTCAGCAGCCTTGTTTCATTCACTCAGAGCATTCCACGTATCCCTTCTTATTTACTCATTCAATAACTTTCCACTGTTGATGACTGGGGGCCTTGGGTCAGTGTTCCATGTTTCCAGTTCCACGTGTGCACAGGTGAGTCAGGTGTGTACACTTGAGACAGGAATTGACACCATGCCGGTGCACCTGCTCATAGATAACGCCCAAACTGTGTGTGTCACACGCTTTCTGCTGCCACCAGCAGTAGAAGCATACATACTGCCCTGGGTTGTGGCTAATGCTGGGTCTCCAGGTCTCTAAATGCTGTCAGGTGTTCCCGTCTGCCTACCTGGAACATACGCAGCGATGTTAGGGTATGGTCCGCACTGGCAGCAGCTGAGGCCAAGCACCTTCTCTTATGTTTAATCATCATTTGAGCTTCCTCTCTTGAAGCATCGCCTTAAGCGTGTTCCCTGTTTGTCTATCAGATTTCCTGGAACCATATTTTAGCCTTCTTCCTGCCAGACATCCAAGGCAGACATGAATATGTAAAGCGAGGTTCTCTAACCGGCTGTGTGGTGGGAGGACGGCTACCTTTGCCTCTGCTCACAGAAAAGGACCTAGCAAGTTAGGCCCGGTGGCTGTGAATTTGGCCTTATGCCAGATTTGCTGGACTCCAATTGTATAGCAGCTTTTGTCTGTTCTTCTCTTCAGTGGCTCTCACCATTCAGGAAGCCCTTCGGCACACTGTTCTAAAAATAGTGGATCTCTGGATACTTCCAAAGTCTACATCGTGTCTCACAGTAGCGGTCAGCAGGTTCCCGGCTCCATGTCCAAGCCCTATCACAGACAAGGAGCAGTGAACAAATACGTCATCGGCTGGAAGAAATCGGAGGGCAGCCCACCGCCCGAGGAGCCTGAAGTGCCGGAATGCCCCGGGTAAGGAGGCTGAGGGGTTCTCGGGACAGCGTTGTGCCTTTGGGGACTGACTCAGCAAAGGCATTCTCCCCCACCCCAAGGGAAATATATCTTCTCTAAAAGGACACTCTGCAGATGTCCTTTGAAAACTCTTATTTATATGTAGGTGTTTATATTTCTCTTTCAAAGTATTCCCTCTTCTTGATTTTTACATAAAAAATGAAAAGAAATCTGAGTTCTTTGTTCTTATATTCAAAAAGCAGCCGACAATAGAGAAGTTGTGGTGATGTGCTGCGGATGGGGTGACTGTGGAGTCTGAAAATATGCAAGGTCAAGGGCAGGCTGAGTTCCTGCAGACTCTGTATGCTCCTCAAAGTTGCTGTGTAAGCAGTATCATAAAAGAAAAGGTGTTTTCACCTGATTTTAGCCGAACGTCTGACCTCTCTTCCAGGTGTTAGGTTTTGTGGGGACAGGTGGGAAGGGATGTTTTGCATTTGAAAACAGAAAAGAAAAAAAAAATACCTGTCGCCCAGTTTAACACAGCTGCTGGCTGTGTGGAGAGACAGGTATCCCATGTCAGGAATGCAGAACAAAGCTGCTCAGAGGGTCCAGCTACTGGGGTTTGTTTATTTTGCACAGAAGCCTGCAAAACCGCATGTTCTAAGTTACCTGGTCAGTGTGTTTCGTGTGCCTGCATGTGCTAGTGGCATAAGTGGCGTGGAGGGTATGTGTGGGTACACACTGTGCCCGAGGGCCGTGATGGCTCTTCACAGAGAGAGCCTCAAGATTTTTAGGCTTAGTCAGAGAACCAGTATTACTTTTTTCCCTTAAAAATAACCCCACGTCTTAAGAATGGCTCTCACAATACTGACTTCAGAATTAAAATCCACTTGAATGCTAAAATTGAACATAGACAGACTCTTTTGTTTAAAAAAAAAGTCATGTCAATCATTGCAAATGAAGTCATTAAGAAAGGAATTTTCTAGTGTTAGCTACAGCTTTTTATTGTAAATGCAAATGCTTAGATGATACATTTGTGTTTCCACCCAATAAAAGTCTTCTGATGGCTTCACAGAAATTCACTCCAAGCCTTTTTTCAGTTCTATGAAATATTTTCAGAAGCATTTTGTGTGTTGCTGGATGCACTGTGTTTAGGCTAAGGGCTCCCTGGGAGAGTTGGGAAGTGTGAAAAGAGCCCATTTGATTTGCTCCGGAGCCCAGGGTTCATGTGCTTTCTCATGCTGGTTTCATGGCACTAACACGTGGTGAAAGACAGGCAAGGCCAGGGGTGTTGTGAGCACAGGGTTTGCATGTCTAGGTAGCAGTCTGTTCTCCCCAGAAGGGACTCCCTGCTAGAGACCCTCACCTCAGGACTCTGGCCATCTTTTAGTCCTGCCCCTCATTTTGTGGGGACAGTTTGAGTTCAGAGCAGTTTTTTTCCCCCTCCTCATGCAGTGTTTGCAGTGTTATTGCTGGGATTAGAGGCCAGTGCTCCCAATCAGTATATCAAGGGCAGCATCCCAGGCCACAGCCAACATTGCAAAGGGCTTCTAAAGCAAGACAGTCATAGAGGAGTGCACTAACTATATTTGAAGTATTGTCAAAATACTTCTACTTGGCCACTGAAATTGTGCTTAGAAAATGGTGGGCCAAGTACAACATGGATGTGGCTGAGAATTAGGGAATATTGGTGCCTCATTGTGCACAAAAGAGAAAATCAGTTGTGTTCTCCAAGAGAAATTTCCCATGGCTCTAAAATTGCCAGTTGTGACTTTTTAATCAAATCGAAGGCTTATAATTGATTGTTTTTGTTAATAATACGGTCTTAGAAGTTTTAAAACATATAAGCATGTGAGCAGTTCTGCCCAGGTTCCCGTGTCTCCATCCATGTGGCCCCACTGGCCTGAATGCCCTTCCCTACTTTCGGAGCCAGCCAGTGCCCTCCCAAGGTGGACACAGCTCTGCTCGGCTTGGCTCGGCTCTGCTCTGCATAATCCAGCCCCACACTTTCCAGACTGACCTCTCACTTCCTTGGCCATCCTGACTTACCATGCACACATGTGTGCACACATACACCACATAAACATACATGCATGCAGGCTGGGAACCCTGCAGGGGCTCCATGTCCTGCTAACCTCAATACTCTCTGTGACTCAGAGCATATTTATGGAATGTTATGGGATATGTTTTTTTAAAATGACTAGCAAAAAAGGCTAGAGATTTTTATTCAGATATGTATAGAACCTGGAACAGCCCATTGTCATCATAATTATCCATGAAGTTACTGAAGGGCCCTAGGGTTTGTTGCCTACATCTTTCCCAAAGCAAATATGGCCTGGAGTTCCTGAGCCCCTCCCAACTCCAAGTCTCAGGATAAAAAGTTGGCATCTTGATAAAATCAACATTGTTGTGTTCCCTCTGAGACACGTGCAATTGGGCTTTTCTTGTAGATTCGATTGTCCAGTTGTGCCATCTCCTAAACCAACCAGCTTTTAAAAGTTTTTCAGGGGCCAGCACTGTGGCATAGTGTGGTTAAAGCCACTGCCTGCAGTGCCAGCATTCCACATGGGTGTTGGTGCCAGTCCTGCTCCTCTTCCGGTTCAGCTCTCTGCTATGGCCTGCAAAGGCAGTAGAGGATAGTCCAAGTCCTTGGGCCATGCTCCCACATGGGAGACCTGGAAGAAGTTCCTGGCTCCTGCCTTCGGATTGGCTCAGCTCCAGCCATTGCGGCCGTCCAGGGAGTGAACCAACGGATGGAGGAGCTCTCTCTCCTCTGCCTCTCTGTAACTCTGCCTTTCAAGTAAATAAATAGAATCTTTAAAAAAAAAAAAAAAAAAGTTTTTCAAAAGTTGTGCTTGTTTGCACTGTCAGTGCTGCTGTGGTTTAAGCACTGAGGGAAAACCTTTCCTCAGAAACAAAGCAAAGCCCACAGAGATTTTCAGATAAATTACTCCTAATTTTGAGCACATCTGTGCACATTTGGTGCTCTAAGAATTTCCCAGGGAGCTTTTATGCTGCAATAAGATAGCCTTGCTGTGGAAATAGAGGTATCTCAGTGGCACACAGTCATGTCCTGGCCACCATGTGCAGCTCACCACGGAGGATGGTGAATTCCTGGAGTGTTGGGTTTCAGGCCATTATGGCAAAGCCCGTCCACCTCTGCTGACAAGACAGCCGCCAGTTCCTCCCTGCATCTTCAGGAACATTCAGTTGCTCAGAAAGCGTTTTCAGAGGCCGCCTGTTGAAAATGACTCCCCAGTTCTCTCTCTGGAAAGGAGCTGAAAACAGTAATTCCATTTGACAGCCTTTTGTTGTCCATAAATACATTTTTATATACTGATAATTAAGGGAGACAGCTGCTTTATTTATCCAAACAGCCTTGTGAAATTACTGATAATAAAGCATGTTTGGCACACATGCGAATTGATTACTCTGAAGCTCCAGGCTCTCTCGGGTGCCTTTCCCTCTGCTGCCTGGGTGTGGTGGCTGGGGGAGTCTAGTCTGACCTCAAGAGAAGAGTCCTCTCATGTCTCTGAGAAGCATAAGCATTGCTTCCAAAGACATGTGATAACCTCTGATGAATTATTGAAACTATGTTTTCTAACAGGGATTAGGAAAGGGAAAACACAGCCTTATTTTAAAAGTTGGCTGTATTTTTTTTCTCATGCTGGGCTTTGGGGATCTGATTTGTCTCTGAATTATTCAGAAACCTAACTTTGCAGTTGAGCTCATTGCACAAATGTGAGATGGCGTGGGGATTTGGAGCAAAAGGCAGTAAAAGTGAACTGACTTAAGAATTGTATGTGTGCCTAAGTGGTAGTTAAAACTGGCCACTAGATTTTAATTTTTGCTGCAGACATTTTACATTGGGCCTTCGCTCCTCTTACTTTCCATTCTGATTTGTTTCTACAGGATGTACAGTGAGATGGATGTCATGTCCGCAGCAACTCAGCATCAGACAGTGGTAGGAGATGCTGTTTCAGAAACTCAACACGTTCTGTCAAAAGAAGACTTCCTGAAACTGATGCTTCCTGACAGCCCTTTGGTGGAGGAGGGGAGAAGAAAGGTTAGCAACTTTTGTGAGGCTCTGAAGTTACTAGAAAGAAATTGGAGAGTTGCTGGGGTAGTACTACATCTCTCGTGACCTTACCAACAACTTGCTGCACAGTTGGCTATGGCCAGTTGTCATCCTGTCAGTCAGCAGAGTCAGCCTCAGAGAGATTATGATGGGCAGCTTTCTATTTCAGATATAGCTAGAAGTCCTGGGAACCTGGCCTCAATCCCTGGCTCCCATGATGATTAACTGCATGACTCTGTGCATGCGACTTGGCCTTAATGTCTTTTTCTGATCAAAAGAAATCGTAATGCCTGGATTGCAAAGTTAGAGCAAAGATGAAGACCATGTGAGAGACCTAGTAGGATGCCTGGATGTAACTGGTGTTCAGGAATGGTAGCTGTTGAAATTCATACCACCTGACTTTGTTCCAGAACTCTAGCCTGTGCAATAAGCGGGGCTTCCTCAGATGTAATCCTGCTCTGGAAATGGACTGGAGCTAGAGCTGACTCTGCCTGCTGGGCATCATAACTAGGGTTGCAGTTTGCCCTGTGCCATGTAAATACCTGCAGAGATCACAGTGGAAGGCCATGTTTTAATCCTGTATCCCAACCTCATGTTCAATGGAACAAACACCTTCATTCACCATCTTGATGATGTTAGATTCCTTATTCCTGTTAGCGTCAGTTTCATTAATACAGAGTCTTAGGCCACTTTTTAAAATAAGGCACAGAATTAGAAGAGATTTACAGGTAATTTAGTCCAACCACCCCAAGGTCCCAGAAGGTGATCTATGAAATGCACAAACATATTTGGTGGAAGAATCAGAAAGGGAACTCCTGTCTCTCGCTTCTCATCGGGCACTCCTGTTCAAATGGAAAGGGAAAAGGAAATCAGGCATCACTGTATTGATGGTGATCAGGGTAAGCAGCGAATTTTTGTGATGCTCTTCCCTGTAGTGCAACAATGCTGCAGTTAACCTAATCATGCTCTTAGACCATTCTAATTAGATACCTCAAAGCTGCTCTAATCTAATCTGCCTGTAGTGAGGCTCTGAAGAACTTTCTGGCTGTTTGTGAAGAAGGAATCTCTTAAGAACTCAATGGTAATGAGTCTCTTTTTAAAATTTGTATCAAATCATAAGATTGATACTGTATAAACTTGGGTACAAAGAGGGCAAATAGCTTTTTTTTTTTAAATGGGAATGAGCTTCTTGATGAGTGTTTTTTTTTTCTCTCCTCCTAAGACAAATCACCTTCTTTCCTTCTTTTCATAATTTAAATTTAACTTTGTAGTTTGCACACAAGCCAGTTACCATTCATCAGCTAGAAAGACTTGACAGGGTGGAAGGAACACATACAATAGAAATATTTTTAGTCGCCTTTCTGCATTCACAAATGTAAATAGCCGTTTCTATATTTGTTTGATGTGAACATTCTGACTTCTACTATTGTTTACGTGAAAGGAATGTAGCCCAGTATGCAAAGGAAGTAGTTGGAAACTCCGATTTGATTTAACTTTTCTTGAATGTTTGACTAGTAAGGATTTTCTTTTCCCCTTCTGAGCTATAGCACACAGTAGGTTTTGTGATTCCTTAAATCTGGTTAAGATTTATTACTATAGTCAGTTTTTAACAATTATAATACAGCCTTTTACAAGTGATGCTTTGAAGTGGGCAGTAAGATTGTAACTACTAATGCCATTTTTCTTGAACTTGTTTGTATGGCCTAGAAAGCTTCCGTGTTCAAAATTAGTTTCATTATATAGATCAGCTCAAACATCACATGTACTTGATTGGTACAGAAAGTACCTAATATTGAAATGTAGTCATTTCAAATTAAAATCAAGCCAGCACTGTGTGCATTTGAATAACTATTGCCTGAAATGGCAACCTTATATATTTCCAAGAGCTTTCACTGGTATAAGGTTATAGAGGTTCCATTTAACATTTCAGAATTAATAAAGCTGTGCATGTCTAATTCATGATAATATTTCTCAGAATGTCAAAGGAGGAAAACATTAAAATCCAATAACTGCACTGAAGCCCTGGTACATTTGCTGTGATGACCCGAAAGCCTAGCTTAGCATTCCTGAGTTAACAGGGAAGACTTGAAGGAGTTATTACTGTAGCGTGTAACTGAACGGGCTTAGATAAATTCCATTCCTTCAGTGTTTTCATGCGCTTCCCTCCCCGCTCCCTGTCTTGTTTTAAACCCTAGTTTTCATTCTATGGGAACCTGTCCCCGCGGAGGTCGCTGTACCGCACCCTCTCTGATGAGAGCATATGCAGCAACCGGAGGGGCTCCTCCTTCGGCAGTTCCCGAAGTTCCATCCTTGACCAAGCCCTGCCCAACGACATTCTCTTCAGCACCACCCCGCCCTACCACAGCACACTGCCTCCGAGGACCCACCCTGCACCCAGCATGGGGAGCCTGCGAAGTAAGTAAGGGCTTGGTTGCTGCCTGACCATCTGAGAGGGTGGGCCAGTTGGACAGCTCCTGCCTCAGGGAGCCCTTCAGATCTTGGGGCTCCAGGGCAGGTTTGGGAGGTAGCGTTGTGTTTTAAATATGTGTCACTGTTGCTGTGCTTTAACTCACTTTCCAATATAAAAGCCCCAGAATAGATATTTTTAAAACATTAAGCAACACTGCCTATTGAGAAGGAAACTGAAAAACCCATATTGGATATTTTTGCAAGTAAAACAGTGACTTCTGTATCATATTTCAGCTATTAGATAAATATAGAAGAAAATGTCTAAAGACTTCATTTTTCAAAAAGCTGAGGCATGGGAAATGGGTTTTCTGGTGAGCAGTAGACAGGAAGAAAGTTTGGTTTTCCAGCTGTCTGTTTCTTCTTGAAGTTCAGGTAGGAAAGGTGGCACGAGGGCACCAGGAGGGGGGGTGTGGTCAGGTGCACGTCACTTGTGCTCGCCTGTGTCCCAGCTTACTCCAGCTTGTAGGTCACAGGTCAGCCTAATGATATTCCTTCTAATACTAGTGTTAGTCCATTATTAATGTGTTAGTGTTTTCAGGGCAATCTTGTTTACGTTAGTTAAGATGTTATACAGGAAGAATTGGGATTTAATTAGAAATATATGCATTGTCAAGGTTAGTGTTTAACTTCAGCATAAAAAAAGCATTAGCTTTAGAACCAATTTGAACTTCATAATTCACATGAACTTCCAAGCTAAATGAAATAAAAGTTCTAATAATGTTTCTAATGTTTAACTTAATTGGACATGAATCTTGTCTTAGAAAATTTTTAATCTGTTTCTGTAACGTGATACCCCACTTGATACAAAGGACCATTCACCTAAATTAAAGAAGCCTTTAAACCCCTTCCTGATAACCATCTGAAAAGTTAAACACACATATTCTAATTCTCCAGCATTTCTCCAAGTGGTTTCTCTTTTTAAGTTAGACATAAAATTCTTTTAAAAGCATTTGTAAAACCAGTGAAACCACTTTCTTGAAAATGTTACTTCTTTCCTTTACAGAGCTTAAAATGTGATTGTGAACTCTCTATAATACATGTATTAATACGTGTCTTCCATTCCACCCTTCATTGTTGCTTCCACATGAAAGATGTATATCTTTCTGTTTTTAAAGGTAGCTTCACTTTTTAAAAAGTAGATGGAGCCAGTACTGTGGTGTAATGGGCTAAGCTGCTGCCTGCAGTGCTGGCATCCCATATAGACGCTGGTTCTAGGCCTGGCTGCTTCTCTTCCAATCCAGCTCCTTGCTAATGGCCTGGGAAAGCAGTGGAACATGGCCCAAGTGCTTGGGCCCCTGCACTCACACGGGAGACCAGGAAGAACCTCCGGGCTCCTGGCTTTGGATTGGCTCAGCTCCGGCCATTGTGGCCATCTGGGGAGTGAACTGACAGATGAAAGACTTTTCTCTCTCTCTCTTCCTCTCTCTGTCTGTAACTCTGCCTCTCAAATAAATAAATCTTACAAAAAATTAAAAATTAGATGACTTTCTTTTTTATATTTAATTATTTTCATCTACTTGAAAGGCAGAGCAATGAAAAGAGCAAAAAAGGGAGAGACAGCCGGCGCCGCGGCTCACTAGGCTAATCCTCCGCCTAGCGGCGCCGGCACACCGGGTTCTAGTCCTGGTTGGGGCGCCGGATTCTGTCCCGGTTGCCCCTCTTCCAGGCCAGCTCTCTGCTGTGGCCAGGGAGTGCAGTGGAGGATGACCCAGGTGCTTGGGCCCTGCACCCCATGGGAGACCAGGAAAAGCACCTGGCTCCTGGCTCCTGCCATCGGATCAGCGTGGTGCGCCGGCCGCGGCGGCCATTGGAGGGTGAACCAACGGCAAAGGAAGACCTTTCTCTCTGCTTTCTCTCTGTCTCTCTCTCTCACTGTCCACTCTGCCTGTAAAAAAAAAAAAAAAAAAAAAAAAAAAAAAAGGGAGAGACAGAGAAAGAGCTCTTCCATCTGCTCATTTACTCCCTGGAAAAGCTGCAATTGCCAGGGCTGGACCAGGCCAAAGCCAGGAGCATGTGGATGGCAGAGGCCCAAACACTTAGGTCATCACTGCTGCCTCCCAGGGTGCATTAGCAGGAAGCTGCATGAGAAGCAGAGTAGCCAGGACTTGACCCGCCACTGTGATGAGGATGTGGGCATCTCGAGAGGCAGCTTAACCTGCTGTGTCACAACAACCACTGCCCCCCCACCACACACACTCCGACTTTGCTTTTTTTTAGAGCAGTTTTAGGCTCACAGCAAAACTGAATAGAAAATGGAGCAATTTTCCAGAAACCTTCTCTCCCTCCCACACACGTACACAGACTCCTCCACTGTGAACTTCCTGAACCAGAGGGGTACATTTGGTAAACCAGTGAACCCACATTGACACAATATTATCTCTCACTCATGGTTTATTCTTGTGGGACACTTTGTAGAGTTTGGAGAAGGGTATGACCGTTCTGCCAGTGTAGAATCATAGAGTGGTTTCATCACCTTCCACATCCTCTGTGTTCCACCTATGTATCCCTCCTTGCCCCTTAATCCTTTATCTTTGTAATGGGTTTTCCTTTCCCAGAATGTCATACAATACCATATGGAACCTTTGCAGATTGGCCCTTGCACTTAGTAGTAACCATTTAAGATTCTTCCATGGCTTTTCATGGCTCCACCCCTCATTTTCTTTTAGCACTGAATATTCCATGGTCTTTCAAAAAATATTTATTTTTTTATTTGAAAGAGTTATAGAGAGGGCAAGACAAGGAGAGATCTTCCATCCACTGGTTCATTCCCCAGATGGTTGCAATGGTCAGGGCTGGGCCAGGGAGGAGCCAGGAGCTTCTTCCCATATAGGTGGCATGGGCCCAAATACTTGGGCCATCTTCTGCTATTTTTCCCCGGCCATTAGCAGGGAGCTTGGTCAGAAATGGAGCAGCTGGGACACAGACTGGTGTCCAAATTAGATGCCAGTGGTGCAGGCAGTGGTTTTACCCACTACACCACAATGCCGGCCCCAGACATGGTCTTGAACTACTACAGTTTATCTACCTGTGCATGTACTAAAAGACTCTCCATATTTAATATGTCCAAAATATAAAGGCACAGTTAGGAAACAAGCAAGATGGACTGCTTATTCGTGGTCCTGGTTAAACATTGCCTTACTTGATTTCTCTCAGAGAAGCATGAAGAATTTCCTGTGTTGCCATTGCTGTTTGCTGTTCTCTAGTGAATCCTTCTTATTTGGCCCTGTGTCTCCTCTAAACTATTTAGAAAAAGTTCCTCTAGGGTTAATGAGTAAACCGACAAGAGGTAAATAAGGGAACTCCAAGTAATTTGTGTTGATTTCTGTTCTTTCTCAATACTTCTAGTTCCTTGTCCCTTGGCCACAGAGAATTTAATCTTCCAGGATTTTCTTGTTTGGGAGACTCTAGTTCCTGGGTCCTCTGACTACCGCAGTCATTTCTCTGATTACTGCTCCTCTATCTGTGGCAGATTTCAGTCACCCTTCACTTGCTGTGCTTTCTACCCATTCCACAGACCGCTTCTGAGAAGATAATAGTCTCTGAGAGTAGTTCAACAGTGTAAAACTGGAGCAATCCAAAAAGGTGAAATATAAAAGCTAATGCCAAAGATCTCTCAGGTGGAGAAATAAGGACTATTTAAGGTCTCCCAGTAGCCTCTCTTGTTTCTCAGAGAGATATAAGCATAACTTCACATTAATTCTTGTATTGGAGATTGGTTCTGTGTAATCATCTAACACTGGGTGGTTTAAAATAACTGCGTAGATAGAGTAAGGGGAAAAACCCAGAAGGCACACAGGTTCTTCTCTTAGGATGGAAAGCCAGAACATTCCTGGGGCGCTCAGGATCTCCTGAGGGGCCCGTCCAGCCGCAGAGACTCCTGCAGGTCTCATTCAGAATCGGAAGTCAGGCAGCCGGGGAAAGGACCGACAACCTTTCTTCAAATGAGCACCTGAGGCTGATCTCTGCACCTTTTCTTCATACACTGTTACAGTCCCAGGCTTCTCTCTCAGATATTTTGAACTTTCAAATGTTCCAGATTTGAACCGGCCTCAGAATCTTCTCTCGAGACCAAGATCTTAATCCCACCCTGTGGGACAGATACTTAACAAACTTGTCTAGAATATGATTCATGTCATGATTCATACCTATTTCCTGTGAAGTCACTGCATTGTGTTCTGTCTTTACGTCCTCCACTTGGAGGTGTGCAAATATCACCTAATCCAGCAACTGAAAACCCTTCTGAAATGTTTCTGCATTGCTTTTGTTTTCCTTACTGGCAAATTGTACAAGTAAATGTCTTTAATGGTCCAAGTGGGGGAAAAAATTGGGAGTGTTTATTTGAGCAGTCTTCACAGGCCAGGTAACTGGCAACATTGAAAAAACAATCATAGTTACCTTTAGTTACCTTTTCCTCATCAAATGGGACGCCTGGATTAATTGATTCAGTGCAACCTCTACCATTGTCAGGTGCACAAAAAATGAAAGAGAATTCCTGGTTTTGTTTTTGTGGAATGGAAATCAGAACTCTCAAAGGAATGCTGAAGTCTTTCTATGAGGATACAATGAGAGCTAAATTTCAAAAACAAAAACAGTTTACTTGTTTATTTGTATGTTTTTAAATCCTAGAGTTCTGACCGAGGCACCTGACAAAGTATGCCACTCAATCTTTGAAAGTGAAAAGTTTTAGAATTAATAAAAGAAGTTAGTAGTGTAGTTATAATTTAGTACTACATAAGTTGCTACAGCCTACAGGTGTGGGCTTGGCCATTTTGTGTCACAGGTGTCAAAGGGCTAACAACCAACAGCAGAACAGTCCTGGCCTAGGTTGGCATGGAAGACGGCATCCACGAGTCTCCAGAGGCAGAGCTGTGACTGTTGATTAGAGCGCTTCTTTCTCCTTCTTCAGATGTCCTCAGTCTCTCCTGCAATAAACATCCAGACAGTAATTGTGCACTCTCTGATCTGACCCCAGGGATGGTTAAAAGGAAGGTCCCTTGGCATTTATAATCACAGTTATGAAGTCAGACTCAATAAAGATGGTTACTGTGATCGCAGGTTTGAGGAAAGCACACAGGAAGCCACAGATCAATGTCCAGGCTGCTCAGGTAGCTGTGCCTGAACGTCAGCCACCTTTCCAAATCCGCAAGTCTCTTAATAGACCTCGGGTAGGTTTATGTGCCACATAAGCAATAGGGATTGTGAGCAGAGAATGGTACCCTCCTCCACAGATAGCTGTAACACTATAGAAGATACTTCAAAACATTAGTGAAAATAGAATTAAATCATATGTTTATTTTTGTAGAAAAATATTTTTCAACTCATGGAAAGATTTTTCGTAAAAGGCAGTTTCCATGAGCTTTTCAAAGACCTTCTATATGTCCACTTTGTGCCAGAGAAATGCTTTTCAATGATGTCCTCCCTCCCCATCTGATTTTTTAAACTCACTCTCAAAGCTCGCAGAAAGTACTACAGATATAATGTCCATTATTAGTAGTCTCTTGTACTCACTGAATGCCCCACTGTATTTGATATAGATGTGTGACAGCAAGTGCAACACTGGTTCATACTTGTAGTTGGACAACATCTGTGTGCATTGCAAAGCACAGGCAATTGATCATTATTGCCTTGTCCAGGTTTGCATTGCACTCAGCATATCCAGGCCCCTCTCAGATCCTCACCAGTTCTATCCGTCTGCTAGTTGACTAGGCTTTTAGGAGGCAGAGCCTGTCTCTGGACTGGTTACTCTTCTCTTAGGTTCTGCTGAGGCACCTGAATGGAATGATTGTGTAGTGAATGCCATCCAGGTGATGCTAGTCGCGATACCTCACAGCAGTTAAAAGTATTGGAAAGAATGTTTGCACGTTTGGAGTCTCAGATAAACAAGCAAAGAAACACGGTCATTTTCATTCTAAAATATGATTTACCAACCAAAGGAAAAGAAAATTCCGTGCTTCTCCTTTTGATTATTCCGGGAGGACTCTAGGCTGCCGTTGACACAAAGCTTGCTCTGCTTGCTGAGAGGCAATGGATTCAGATCGAAATCCGCACATTTTCAGAATGCTTTTTCTAGAAATGTGTTCTTCATCAAGAGGCTCCTTCGAGTTGTTTGAGTCTCCACTGACTGTTACCTCCTTGGCCTTTCCCAGACATGCCTTGTAGTCACATCCCATTTTATTTTCTGCAAAAGGTTTACCACTACCAGCAATTTCTTTGTTTCTTTCCCTCTCAGCATGTAATGTAATACTCCTGAGAGCTGAGCCCTGTTTTATCCACATTGTACCCCGCACGTGACGGAATAGTCACTTATTAAATACATCATGGGGCAGTGTGTTTAGCCTAAAGGGTAAGACACTAGTTATAATGTCTGTGTGTCATATCAGAGTACTTGGGTTCGATACCTGGCTCTAGCTCGCGACACGGTCTTCCTGCTTGTGCAGACGCTCCATTGGGAGGCAGCAGTGATGGCTCAAGTAATTGGGTTCCTGCCAACCACATAGCAGACCTGCTTTGGGTTCCTGACTCCCAGCTTTGACCTGGCCCAGTCCCAGCTGTCGCAGGCATTTGGTGAATGAACCGCTGGATTTGAGAGTTCTCTCTGCCTCTCAAATAAATTGTTATAAAAAACTAAAATCAGTACATCATGGATAGCTCAGTAGTAGAGCCCCCAATAAACTCTAGAGAAAAGAAGATTTCTAATCTATAAGTCTTCTATCTCAGTTCAGTTTCAAATAGACCAAAGTCTCATCACAGTTTGGGGGGGGGGGGGCTCCTATTTTATGATAGATCACAAACTATATTCCCTCCTTTTGCTTCCTGGTTCTCTATAAAAATTGGAGGTAAAGGGGAGCTCTGTGCTTGCCTCTGGCAATGATATATGTATCCTGAGGTCTTGTGAGATCCCGAAGTCTCTGGTGCCATTTAGTATATGGGCTGTGTGTGTGCTATGTATTGTGTCCAGGGTCTGGCTGCAGCTGCTTGGACAGCAGGGCCCACTCATGCATGTACTCCACATCAGCTTCTAGCTACCAGGATTCAAACATGTGCCTTGTACAATTACAAGTGGCCACACATCATGGAACTTCAAGGGTACTTAGGAATGGTCAAAGTTTTCATTATTTAGCCTAAAACTCTTGAGAGACTACTCCTCTAGGTGTTTGGGGTAACAGCTGCAGGAGGACATGGGCCTCCCACCATCTTCTCAATCAGTGGTGTCTACTTTCCCCTCCGTTCTCATTGCATTTTGCCTCTTTTGTCCTTTTACCATGTTTTCTCTCCAGCTGGCTCTTGTTAGTGCCAGTAAGGACATTGTGGTCTAGCGGTGTTAGGGAAGAGAGTAGAGAGCATACAGCATGGGTGTTAGGTTTGAATCTAGCCTTTAAGAATCCCAGAAGCTGGAATGAAGGATTACTTCTTTATGAACACCACGAAGATCCATGAGTTGGCATTTCTTAGTGAAACATGATGGGCAGAATGTACTTTCTGTGGGAATATTCCATCCCATGCCCAGTTTCCTTTCCAGTGAAGGAGGGAGACTGGAAGGCTCCTGTGAGCCACCTCCAGCCAGCCTGTTCTCTGCACCTGTCATGCAACTGTGACGCCGTCACTCCTGTTCCTGGGAGCTTGGCCACATGGAAATCAGTGGTGGTTGTCTGGTTAATAGAATTGCCTTACACTCTGTACATTAAGCTTATTTTGAGTAAAGGACCAGAGTGCTTGAGAAACAACAGGAAGTGATGTGCAAGCGAATGAAGATCCCGGGCTTGCTTATGTTTCTGCGTCACCCTTTATCTTTAAACTTGAGGTTCACGAAGGTAGCTGAGAGCCAGTTCAGCCAGCCTCTGGAGAGGGACTATTTCCACGCCCTCCTCCTTCCCCAGGAAGACCCTCAGTAGAGGAGGGCAACAGTGAGCCCTGAGTGTTCCCCTCCCACTCCCTCACTGCTGCTTCCTTCCCTCTGCTCCTGGCTCACCACATGGCAAGAACCAAGGACATCACACGTGGAACAAGCAGAGGCATCAGGGAGTGTTCTTATTTCAGAGAAGAGCATGTGGAGAGAGCGGGAAGGTGGGATGATGCTGACCAAGTGTCCTTTACTGAGCTCCTTGGAAGGTGGGGGCTGGGATCAAATCAGTTGATTATTTCAACATGATAGCATTGAAAATAGCATGGTTTGATTGGTTGAGCTGCAGCTCTTGGAGGTTTCCTGAGAGCTGTATTCGTCAAAGGCGTGAAAGCTGTTGATGTCCTCAGGGCCAAGTTTACCAATGCATCTCTCTTAGTCCAGACACGAGAATTTCACCCAGAAGGAGAAGGGAACAGAAATTACAGGTGCATTCAGTTAATTATGGCCCTTACTTAACTCCATTGCAGGCTCCGCTTGCATTAGCTGGTCATTAGCTTGATTGGCCTAATTAGTCAGATGCATTCACAAGCAGCTGCATGCAGGGTTCTGAGCAGGTTCAGAAAGGGCATGTTGCAAAGAGTCCAGTGCATGCCTTTGCAGAATTTGCCCTCAGATGCATATTGGGTTCTTAACAACTAGTATTATTAATTATGTAAACACTTAACGTACCATGATGAGAGTTTACAGTCAAAGGAAAACTGTCACACATTCATTACAGGGTGAGGGTTTTGTGGGTAGCCAGTGAGTGATGCAACCATTTAAAGGTAAAAGAACAGTGCAACTACTCTTTTTGTGCACAGTCTATGAAATAATGTCCTCTCTTTTTTTGTCTTTTAACAAAAAGCTTTAATAATTTTTGTAATAAATTGATACTTAAGGCATCTGAAATTTGCATGCTCAGCTTAGATAGCCTTGTTCTTCCATAAGCCTTTGAATTCATCTGGAAAGAGAGTGCTACTCACCTTTTTTTGCAGCAGTGAAAAGCCTGCAGCACTTTACAGACGGGGAAAGTCACCCCTGAAGAAAACAGGCATTCATCCTGCAGGTGGCCAGGCGCAGGTGGATGTGCTGGAGGCGAGCTCTGAAGTTACGGTGCTCTCCAAAGGCCCCGTCCTGATCCCCTGCCACCCTGGCCGCACGCCTGCTTGCCCTGTAATCAGCCTCGGGCTGGCTGCTTTTGACAAACCTCCGTTTTCCCCCACTCTATGCCTCTGGGGTCACTGCAGCTTGATGCGTCTCTTATTCATTGGGAACAGGATATGTTCTACAAAAAGTTGTTTAGGACGGGAATGGCAGTACCTGCACGCCGACTGCCCAGCTGGCTCTGAGTTAGTTTTGGAAGCACCCATGCTGTGACTGACTGACTGAGAGGACTCCTGGGTGTGGATGGGGGTTCCTGGGCTGTGACCCACTGGCTGACTCTAGACGGAGATGGCCGTGTCCATGCTGTGACTGACTGACTGTAGGTGAAGATGGTGGTGCCCATGTTATGAATGACTGTGCTTGGGGTTGGGGGTGCCTGTGCTGTGAGTAACTCTGGGGAGGGCATGGCCGTGCCAAGGCCAGCAGTGCCCATGCTGTGACTAATGTTCTGGTTTTGTTTGTGTTTAGATGAGTTCTGGTTCTCCGATGGGTCCTTATCAGATAAGTCCAAGTGCGCAGATCCTGGCCTGATGCCTCTCCCGGACACGGCCACGGGGTTAGATTGGTCCCACCTCGTGGATGCTGCGCGGGCATTTGAAGGTAAAAACTCTACTGCCACCAGGCCTTGCCACCTGTCCTGGGGAGCACTTATCCTGTGGGCCTCTGTAGCAACTTCCTGGAACTTGTCTGTGTCCCTGATCATCTAGTTAAAGTTATGGGTGCTTTGCCTGTATTTAAGGATGAAAGCAAGCAGGGGAAGGCCAGGCTGTGACTAAGGAAGTTTCCTTAGCATTGGAAGATGCTTGCATTGCTTGCATCCTCAGGACCTTGCATGTGATACGGTGTAAACCAGAGGCCCCGGGATCATTCCTTCTGTGAATTTTTGCCATGTGCCGCTGTACTCTTTCCGTGTGTTTAATAGAATGAAGCATACGGATGACAGACTCTGCTCCTGGAGCCCCGGCAGCTAGAACTGACAGAGGAGACGGGGCCTTTAAGTAGGGTCAGTTCTGTCCCACTCCCTTTGTGAGCCTCTCCTGGCACCCCTGAGTCCCAGCAGTCTGGTGTGCAGCACCTCAGACCCGAGAGACTCCACCCCTCTCTCCCACTCCTCCCCCTGCCCCCTTTTCAGCCTCTGGTAGCTCAGCCTCCTCACCCATGATATCAAGCCTCAGAGACTGAAATCGGATTCTGCGCCATAGAGAGCAGGTGTCCTGGACGCCAGGCTGCACAAGGTTGAGGGCTGTTGCTCTGTGCACCCCTGGTCTCTGACAAGCTCAACCCCATAGAGAAGCCTCACCAGTGGCTTTGCCTGTGGTCCGGAGCACCCAGGGATGCACCTGAAATCCATTCTTCACGTCGATTCAGGCACAGGGAAGTTAGTAAGAGGAAACATAATTGTGTTCTCACTGCTCCCTTGACGAGAGTAAGAATTCTTTGGGGCTCTCTGCTTTATAAACCACTCACTCCTGATGGAAACTTCAGAAAGCACCACCTGCTGTATGGTGAGGCTCGTGGCATATTGTGAAGGCCTGGGGGCGTGGTGCAGGGCTTCCCGAGCCTCCGGCTCCAGAGAGCAGGAACGCCATCTTTACCTCTGTCTAAAGCAGTACAGCTGGCAGGTAACAGCATTTTTTCTGGTAGGTTCCTTACCCTGACTAGATCTCACTGGCCCTAGGAGAATATACCAGTCCTCCCTTATCCTCAGGGGGATGTGTTCCAAGTCCTGTAGTGGGTACCTGAAACCACAGCTAGTACCAACCGCTAGCCTTAGTGGTTTTTCCCTATACTTAAAGGTCTATGGTAAGGTTTAACTTATAAAGTAGACACTAAAGGAAATTAGCAACAAAAACTAATAAAATAGAACACTTATAACAACATACTCTAATGAAGTTGCCAGCATTACTGCTCTTGTGCTTTGGGACTCTTATTAAGCAGAATAAGGGTTATTTAAATACAAGCACTGTGCGTGACGATCAATCTAATAACCAGGATGGCTAGTAGGTGACTTAAAGGGTGGATAGCCTATACAGTGTAGACACACCAGACAAATACACAATCAAATACAGAATCAGACAGAGCAAGGTGGCACAAGATTTCATTATTCAGAGTGGCATGCAATTTAAAACTTTTGAATCATTTATTTCTGGAATTTTCCATTTCATAGTAACTAAAAGGGCAGCAAGTGAAATCACAGTCAAAGGGGGACTAATGTATATGAGCAGCTCTGCTGTCCTCTGTGTTTCCTCACTGCATAAATATCGGTGTAGTACTTGCCACGATGAATTCTGCTTTATTTACTCTCTGTCTGTTCTTATTAGATGGTGAGTTTCTCAAGGGAAAGCTGCTTATTTTATTTATATTAGATTTATTTATCAAACACATAGCAAGCTTACCAAATGAGAAGAGCTAGCACAGAAGAGTGGGTGGGTATTAAATACTCGTAAGCCTACAGCTGTCCCAACTCAGTATATTTTTTTCACTGCTGAGGGCCTTTGCATGTTGTATTCATTTTTTGAGAGTTGACACAGTATTTGTCACCTCATCTCTGTATCCACCGTCATTTGTATCTTTGCTTGGATCCCCACTGCCCCCCTTCAAATTATCCTTCAGAATAAAATCATTGCTGTGAAATTGATCTTTTCTGAGAAGCAGAGAAAGCAAAGTGGTCCAGTGGCTGCAGTGAGGGACAGAATTGCTAATCCAGGTATCTGGGTCATAATCACAGCTCTTCTGCTGGGCTGTGAGCTCCTGGACAGGTCGTTTAATTACCATGATGTGTTCCCTGCCCACTCACACTGTAAGTACTTCACAAATTTTAACTCAGTGAATATTCAGTAGGGATCCTCTGTGGCACCTGCTTAAGTATTTTGATCTTCAGTAGATTCTATAAAATGATGGCCTTTCCCCAAAGAACATATAAGGCATCTTATGGTCCTACATCTCTAATTTATGGTTCTGTTCATAAGAAAACATCTCAATTCTAAAGTAAGAATATAGGTTGTGGTGGGCACACGGACACAAAAGAGAAACAAACATAACTTGAGGACTTGAACTGACAGATACATTAATACCTAAATGAAGCAGAAATAATAGGGGATTCTATCTGCCAGGTTAGACTTTGATTACATGATCTTTAATATTTATTAAAAAAGATGGGACGAGTTAATGCCATGTTTAAAAATTTCAGTACATTTCAATGCTACTTTATAGGGTAGCATCCCATCTGAGCCAGTAGTTTATGAAAATTCAGTTGAGAATTTGTAGCTCCAGCCTTTTGGCTAGTCAGATTCTCTTACATCAGTATCACCTCGGTCACATCCTGCTGGTCTCTTTGACATGGATTGAACTGGGGAGATAGGAGAAATGTCTTTACCAAGATGACTCTGCTCATGACTTTATTTCCTTGTGCCAGTTCTCAAAATAATTTCTGAGCGAGAATAAACATTATGAAGAAAAGATGGTCCAAAAAATGCCCATGTACTCATTTATTTGATGATTACAAACTAATAAAAATTCAAAATGTCTTACTGAGGTCCAACTTTTCTGGAGTAATCCTGTGCCTATATTTTTACATCAGTAATCAGAACATCTAAAAACAGGCTTATAATAATGGAATCTATCTGCCTGTTGGATTGAGATTCCACAATCTTTATAATATCCAAAGTGTGATCCATCGCTGGCAGACTGGTCTCGCCCCCATTAGATCAGCTTCATTTATATTACATGTTCTTGTATATGTTATGTTCACCTCTTTTTTTTTAAGATTTTTATTTATTTGAGAGAGTTATAGACAGTGAGAGAGAGAGACAGAAAGTTCTTCCATCTGCTGGTTCACTCCCCAAGTAGCTGCAACAGTTGAAGCTGTGCTAATCCGAAGCCAGGAGCCAGGAGCTTCTTCTGAGTCTCCCACATGGTTGCAGGGGCCCAAGCATGTGGGCCATCTTCTACTGCTTTCCCATGCCGCAGCAGAGAGCTGCATTGGAAGAGGAGCAGCCGGGATTAGAACTGGCGCCCATATAGGATGCCCATGCTGCAGGCGAAGGCTTAACCTACTGAGCCAGAGCGCTGGCTCCTCACCTCTTTTTAAGAGCTAAAATTGCCAATGGGCATAGATGTTTTAAGAATTTAGATTTTACTGAACCATTTAGTAATGGGGCAGAGGTACCGCATTAATCTGCATGATCATCATTGCCTAAAACTGTTTAACTCTTAGCACAAAGAATGTAATATAGAACGAGAAGCCACCAGGCATCCTGTGACAGTTTTCAGTTGGTTCTCTCCAAAGAAGAGGCGTCTTTCCAGACCACATTGCTGACCACAAGGCAATGAAAATAAAATGCAGTAAGAAAAATAGAAGCAAAATACAAACCGAAAGCTCTAACCAGTTGGAAAATTGTTAATGTTACTCCAATAATTGTGCTAGGAAGAACTAAGAAATATAACGCAAACTTTTTTTTGCTGAACGATAAGAAGCTACCTAGTAAATCTTTGGACTATACCCAGAATGAGAGTAATTCTTAAAAAAAATTCAGAAACATTTATTTAAATGGAAAAAAAAAGTGATCATTAACTGCTTCCACAAAAACTATGAAAGAAAAGCACAAAAAGAAATGAAATACGTTTTTAAAATCAAATGGCAAATGGAATTTAAGTGCAATGTATAAATAAAATCCATAGTCAGATTTTCAATGTTGATAAACCATTAGCATATTTGGTTCAAAAAATGTTGAGTACAAATGAGCAAAAAATACAAGAAAAGTGAGTGAATAAACTACTTATGTATGTCACTGCTGTGATGAAAGAGAGAGAAAGTCAGTGGGAACTGGCTGAACTGTGTGTGCTCCCTGCAGAGAGCACGAGGCTCTTCCCCTCAGTCCCACAATTGCAGAGCTATATGGCCTCCCAGAATGGGAAGCCTCTGCTGGCCTGTGTTATGGAAGACTCATACTCATCTGGGGTCTTCCAGTTTGCTCCAGAATTCAGACCTTATGGGCCTGAGCCACAAAATCTGTAATCAATACAAGACTTTGCCCGTACTCGAGAACTTGGTTTCCCATTAAATTCAGTGTACTAATGTGCAATACTTGGGAATTAGCTGTCGAGCTGTAGGGGATGAAGGGAACCTGTCAAAAGGCAGTCCGGAGTTGCAGACTCAGAACATGTCCTAAACTCACTGCAGCGTGTGGGTTCCGCACATGCTGGCTGACTCCAGTTCTGGGGCTCATAATTGCCATAGAAGTTGCCTTTGTGCCCTTATCCCAAGGTTGTAAGACGAGGTACTTGAACACTTAATGTACAGCACTCCCAGTCAGGCTGCTTGGCTGGTCCCTTCTGCCTCAATACTAGTGTTCAACCCACCTCGACCCACAGCCCCAATAGAGCTTTGTCCTCAACATTTTCTCATCCCATGTTCTCTGGGTAATATTAAGAGAGAGAAAAAGATTTTTAATAATTTTAAAAATTTACTAAAGAATATCAAGCAGGGCCGGCGCCACGGCTCACTAGGCTAATCCTCTGCCTGCGGCGCCGGCACACCGGGTTCTAGTCCCTGGTGGGGCGCCGGTTCTGTCCCAGTTGCTCCTCTTCCAGGCCAGCTC